GATCACGTCAGGGTCACCAATTTGTAGCGGATTAGCTACCTCAATAACCTTGACTATTCTCAGAAAGCTCTATGGCAGTTTCTTCTAACTCGAAAGTCCCCGGGAATTAGCTAAGCTAAGCCAAAGTTATAAAGGAATAGACGAGTTGTACGGAGCACGTTTATTCCGTCAGAGTATGGGGATACCGTGTGTGTCACGGAAGGGAACTAGTCATACAACATGGCGGATTTGGTAAAACAAGCGAGGGTCATTGAGCTGCTATTGGCTGCGTGCTCTTGTCCTCAATCCGTACGCGAGGTTGTACAGCCGCACCTCAAACCTATGTGTACGCGCATGCGATGACGTGTCCCACAGGATAATTTTCTTTCCGATATAAACTGTCATTTGGTTTATTATTAGTTTTCAATATTCTACTCGAAATTTGAGTAGTTATAGCCTTACTAAGGTACAAATGGAAAGTGTAAAATATCATTTTATTGATTAGTTATAAGTGAGGTGGGGGAACAAGTAACTAATGTGAAATTAAAATTTCTATAACATTTCTGGTATTATCAATACATTTAATTATTTCACATCACACTGGACTGAGGCTCGTGGTGACAAAAAAAGGTGTTTATTCTAATGTTCATGGGAATAAACTCTTCCCCACTCTGAAGAAAATACTATGTCTTAACAACGTATTAGTGGATTTCAACTCCATGTATAGTTCAATAACTAGTTTTTGGGCTTAAAATTCGAACGAAATTTAGTTAGCGCTTAAGGAAACTTACTACGTAGGTGCGGCGCACCTGCCACGTCAGGGGACCAAGTGTTAGACTGCCCTTTCAATCAAAATTCACTCCAAGTAAAATATACGGTTGATGCGATTGTATTTAACTTTTAAACACAGGGTTTCCTGAAAGTGCCTTTTTATTTTTAACATTTGCTCGCTAAAACTGCTTGAAATAGGCTTTCAGAACACAGCCGCATTCATCAGTCATTCAATTGTTTCGAATATTAGTGCTGATGAATAGGGGGAACTTGATATGTGGAAGTTTAGCACACTTCAGTCCTTAAAGTTAGTAGCATAACGATAATCTTGTATCTCGACATTACCATTATGGATTATCTCTGGGATACAACCAATTATGAAAAGAATTAACTACATTATATGACAATGACTAATCTTTTAGATAAAAGTTAAGCATTTAGAGTGGTACTAGCAGCCCCCAAATTAAATAATATTAAATTCTAACACACCCTATTCGGTCCAAAATTAAATATTCTTCGGTGAGCTTCAGCACATTAGTAGTATTAGTAGCACTCTTAAGATACCAAGTGGAATCTAAACACCACTAGGAAAATAAACACCAAGCCATTTAGATTTGAATTTGTAACAAGCATCTCTACCTTATTTACTAAAATTTAGAAGGTAATCTAATGAGATCACATTCATATAAGAGTCGAATGCGAATAACAAAATATGTAACAAATGTATTTAACGAAAATAGCGAACATATGTATATAAGAGAATTTGAGAAGTGATCATCCATTGTGTTTTCTCGGAACAAAGTGCCCCTCATTAAGATACAGATGGTCGTGGTTTCTACTCTTCCAGTTTCCAAAACCCTTTCCATAAAGAGTATCTCTCTCCACCATAGAGGATAATTTATCATCAAATTTGCTGATCCTTTCAAAGGGATCAATGTTAGCTTCCAAAGAACTGTTATTTTCCAAAAGATTTTGATTGTTCAGAATAGAGTATTGAATTAATTCCTCGTTCTCCCTTTCCTTTGTGTAGAAATAGTTGAAATTCGAGACGATCACAGGAACAGGCAGAGCAACAGCGAGCACGCCAGCTATTGCGCAAAGACATCCCACCGCTTTACCCATGACACTTTGCGGGTACATGTCTCCATATCCGACAGTTGTCATTGTCACAACAGCCCACCAAAACGAGTCAGGAATGCTGGTGAAAGTATTGGGCTTGGAGTCCAATTCCATGTAATATACCATTGTCGCGAAAAGGACCACGCACACAAAGAGAAAGAAGAGCAAGAGCGTAAGCTCACGACCACTAGTCATTATAGTTTTTGCAAGCACTTGAAGGCCTTTAGAATGGCGAGATAGTTTTAAAATACGCACAACACGAAGCAACCGTAGAAAACGAAAAAATCGCATGTACATTGTAGAGGGTGTGAAAGGACTTTCGCAGAGCATCATAATCAATTGGATATAAAAGGGGACAACTGAGATAATATCAAAGATATTGAGTGCGGATTTGAAGAATGCCAGCCTGTTAGGACAACTGAAGAGACGAAGAAATATTTCGAGTGTGAACCATAGCATACAAACCAGTTCAAGGTAAAAGAATTCATCTTTGAAATAAAATTTGCTGGGTGTGAAGACTGGAATAGGACCAGACATATCGACTTGATAGGTTATGAATGCTGGCAGGGTTTCAAGACAAAAACTGGCAACTGATAGCAAGATAATAGCGATAGATGTGAAGGAAAACCATTTTGCGTAGCAGGAGCTCAGTGGGTATTCAAGAAATAGCCACATCTTCCGTCTAACCTTATTTTTAGGTAGTTTTATATCATCTAGTGCTGTCAAACCCTCATCTTTGAGGACTGCACGGAAAGCAGCATCGCCAAGTCTGAAAAACCTTACTTCATCAAGGAAAACTGCAAGAGACACTCCAAAGGGTCTTTGAATAAATCCATTGCTCTGATAATAATACAGTATACTTTCAAAGCTCTCTCGATGACGATCAAAGAAGTAATATCCATGCTTTTCATCATAGTACCTTGAGAGTAGATTCGGATTACCGAGGAGGGTGTTGGGAAATCGCTCCAAAGTAGTGACATAAGTCTCGAAAATAAGACCACTAACATTAAAAACCATTCTTTCTATTGTTTCGCGTTTTTTCACAGGGGTTAAACTTCTTGACCTTAGGAGACGATTAGTAGTAGATTTAGCTCTTTGGATCCTACTGGTAAGGAAGGACAAGCATAAATATATAATGTGACATATTGTCATTAGGACAACGTTGATCGAAAAACTTAAATCGCTCCTTACAAAAATTTCCAAGATTATGCAGAAGCGAACAACTATAAATAAAAATAACAAAGAACAGCGTAAAACCAACATGTAAAAATGAAAACAGAACTAATAGGAAAGCTTACTGTTCAATCGGCTTGTAAGATTGTAAATCGTTGTCAGTTGGGAGGGAATTCTTAGTATTTGGCGCTTGTGTATTATTAACCCATTTAACAGCAGCATGCATTACACAATAAATAAACGGTGAACACAAAAATAAGTCAGTTGAACTATCGCTTCATTGATAATCACTGTTGTAAACTAAAACAAAATTCTAGGTCTTTCATTGTATGTTTATCAAATTTATACGAAACAACCTTATTACTTTAAATGATTATAATAACCTTGCGTAACAGTTGTATTGACTTACTTTTAACTATTCATAATAAGTTATTTGTATTTTACGTTTAAATTGACCAAGTGTAGTAGTATAAAAATGTTGATTAATGGTAAGAAATATCTAGTGTAAATCATTGAAATGTTTCCTTCTAAAATATATTTAAATTTGTCAGATTTTAATTTATTCTGTAAATTGTGGGTCTTGTATACTTTGCACTTGTTCTACATCCATATAATTATAATAACAGAGATCTATCTACATCATAATTACATGTTCAAAATTTCGTACCGAAAATTCATTTAATTGCCAGAAAACGTACTATTCGCTTTTGCGTTCGTAAAATTCCACTGTGGTGGAATAGCTGAAGGCTCAAAATATCTCTCTCCTTTTTAAATATTATTATTTATGTAATAATATGTAGCACCGTAAAAAATTACATTTAGAAAGATTTTTAGAAAGTTTGCCAAACGATTTTTGATGACAAGCATAATTTCTTTGTGAACTCTATTTTAAGTCACATAATGCTCTTGACGCCTTAGTTTTCTAGGAAGCCTTGTGCTTTTGTGTTATGAATCCTAAGCGAAGTGTTTCATCTCCCTTTCCTCATGCACAGAAATATTGTTTACTTGACTCAAGCTCTCACAACTGGATGCGTAAGAACACTTGTAGAGAAGCTGTCTTCTCAATTTTGGGCGGACTTTTTAAGAAATATTTTAACTAAGCAAATGAGCAAATTTATTTCGACAATCGGAAAGGCCGCTTGAGTTATAAGTCATCTCTTGCCCCTTCTTTGTGTTTGTGTGGCTGTTGTTTCAATGGTAACACTTACTTCTGACTAAACTCTATGTATACCAACTTCATCACCTTTCTCCCCCCACCCCCACCCCCTCTTTCAAGATTAAAATCACGTATGTTCCACTCTCGAAATTCATTAGCATCATCAAAAAATCCTTTTATTTAATTAATTTTTTCCTTTCTTGCATCATCATCCCGCTGGTTGCAACACACTTTTCCCTCCCTCTTGATAGGTGATGAAGATTAATAGTAAACAGAGGATATAGTCTACAGAGAAGCTAGAGTTAGATATGCTGTATGATTTTGAATAACACGAAAAAAATATTTTGATGCTTAAAATGTTAGGAAAAATGAATTAAAGTGACAAATTGTTTATTTTTGTTGAAAGACCGACCAAGACTATCAATTCAGGGTGAAAATTATGAACCTATGAAAGTGAACAGTCTAATTATTATGTATTTGTTAACTCGGATCAATAAATCATATGGTAACACCATACCTGTCAATAATAATGAGATATGATTTTTCAACCTTTTAATTCACGTCTACTTGAAACTGCCTTTATTTAAAAGAAATATTTTACATACCATCGATAGCGAGTTGATAAAAATAATGGCCACGAAATCATATGAAAATATATCCGCCTGATTTTCAATATGAATGAAGGATAGAAAAAGAAGGTAAATGTTGATCGAATCTCAAATTGCTGGAACTTAGTTGAAGTAGGTTCTCTTGAATTTCTTCCCCGCCACCACCCTCCTTCAATGGTGCAGCGGATTGCTACAATAATAAACCTTGACTACACCCAGTGATCTCCATGGCCGTTTCTCCTCTGTTTGAAAAGCCTCCCAGAACTAGCTAAGCTACCACAAAGCTATGGAGGAAAGAAAAGTATGACGTGGAACACGCTTATTTGGGATGTTCGTGTGTGCACAGACGAGGAGCTTAGTCGTTACATTATTATGGTGTGTTTGATAAACCAAACGATTACTGTTAATTGACGGCTGGCTGTGTCCTCTGCACTTGCGAAGGCACTTGCTCCCTAAGTGCAGTTGTACGGTGGCACCTTCCAACCTGACTAAGTGTCCATGAAAACGTTGTGTGCCCCGCAATGGTATCACCCAGTTCTTTACATCGCTTTCTCTCTCACTTTCTCAATATCGAATGCACTTATGTTCATATGTTTCTCTATTATGAAATATAGAGAGATTGTTTTCCCTACCACGGAAACTTGAGATGACAGTCAGGAAGCATCGCTGAATTTTCAATGCATATGCCTCCAACGTGAGTCAATTGTTGTGATTTTGATGATTGAATTATATCATAACATTGAGCTAAATGTTTATATTATTACTATAAAGGTGGCTTAATTTTCCTATTGATATTTAATGCATTGATATTAAAAAATTGGGAAATTAAAATATTAAAACAAATCAATAGATTATTTACTTTAATGTCACAAATTTAAAGAGAGAGAGGTAAATGTTCAGACTCGATCAACAGCTTTTAAATAAGGGTAATCAGCTTGACTTCTGGGACCTTAACCTTTGGAAATTTACAAACCGACACAGTTCAAGCACCATAGAAATGGATTAAGGACTATCAGCAATTTTGCTAACTGAAGACAAATATCTTACTGAGTGTAATAATGATCAATATGATTATAGCTTCATATGTTAACTAACACTGACTGGTGACTTGTTGAATGAAGCAAACGCATAGTCACTTCCTCCATCTTCTCCATATGCTCATCTCTTCCACGAAAAGCATTAGACACCCTATAGGAAAAATTCAGAAGCACTCTAAGGTACCGTGTTCTTCATCGTTCATCTAGAGTTTTATTGCATTGACCATGCAAATTAGGCATACTTGACGACAGATGACTCAACCAAGGTCAAGTCATCTTTTCTCAAAGAGAGATTTTCATGTGACCCAGCACTGGTAGCTTTGGTACTTATTAACTTAATCATCTTGGAGTCAGACTTCGAGGACTCGTCCAATACCATTTAACACCTCCACGTGGTGCACCCTGGGCAACGTATACTCACGATAGACTTACCTCCAGGTGGTGCACCCTGGACAACGTATACTCAAACGGCACGTGGTGCACCCTGGGCAACGTATACTCATACGGCTCCACGTGGTGCACCCTGGGCAACGTTTACTCATACGGCTCCACGTGGTGCACCCTGGGCAACGTATACTCATAAGGCACCACGTGGTGCACCCTGGGCAACGTGTACTCATACGGCAAGTAAGTCTATCACGTGGTGCACCCTGGGCAACGTATACTCATACGGCAAACAAACTGGTGCACCCTGGGCAACGTATACACGGCAAAAGAGTCCGTGGTGCACCCTGGGCAACGTATACTCATACGACAAAAAGTCTATTGATCGGCAGTTGACTTCTGACTTAAAACTACCATCACACCACCGTATGTCATATTCGACTACTTTCACAGTACTCATCCCACCTTTTTTCTACCTTTGTGTCGCTCACTTTTACATTTTCGAAACACTCTTCTGTCCCCCCCCCCCACCTCTCGACTTTTTTCACTTTGATGTTTCTTCACCTCTGTGAAGCCCGAAGTCAGCTAAAGGGCTAATGATAACTAACAAAACGCTTGCCATTTGATATAAATAAATAAATACAATAAGGAAGATAGAGCAATTTCAGTATTCCAACAGAATAGTTCCACTCCCTATATCCGAGAAGAAAGACTATTTTTGTTAGGTTTTGTAGTTGCTTATTATTAGTTGGTATCCATTATTGTAGCTTATAGTGAAAGTTACTAAAATATTTCAAATGACACAAATGTGAAAAACTTTAAGTTTAGTTGAAAGTGTTATTAAGAGCTGGAATTCACCCTCAAGGCAGGTGAATGGGACATTCAAGAGAATTGAAGTCAAAATTATGATTGAAACTCAAAAATGAAGGACGCCGAAAAATTAAAAAAAAATTGTGATTCTAATACAGTGGATGTATATTATAAACTTAATGAAATTACAAGGCATAAGGAAACGCTTCATAGATAGAAATTTATATTTTAGTGTCCCATTGAAGTTCAATACCCTTATCTAGCTTAGTTTACTTGTATACTAAAAATGAGTCGGATTTCATTGGTGCTGGACTGTTTTAATAAAGAATTTGTGGTTAATTACTAATAATAAATAAAGAACAATATTGCTCAAAGAACAGTGAATATGAACGGCTTTTAATCTTAGAGTAAAGAATGGAGTGTTGACAAAAGTTTATGAAAATTGAGCATCAGGTTTTGCGAATCTTCAAAATTGTTAGAAACGCAATTTCTCGTGGGTGGCATATTTATATCAAGGCACTAAGCTTACTAATACCTTAATTATCTGATTGCTAAGTTTAAAGAAAAGTCGAAACCAGCAATAATTGAAAATTTTCCTCAATTTTTTTAATTCAAGTTTTAATTAAGCCTTCTCAGACTAGTTTCATCCTCTTAATTCAGAGTACATTTTTATGGCCAAAATTAACGGCGCTTGGTCTTGGTGGGATAAACAATCGTCTACAATCGGTGATGTGAGTAAAAAATCTAGAAGAATGAGTAATTATGCGTTTACTAACCTGTGAAATTCTTTTAAACGATTTGATTCAATCTACCGAATCATCGGACGCTTTAAAGAGGCAATATCTCTCTTTCACTGCAACAACACCTTGTTTATACTTGTTCAACCCGTGTTGTTTATATTGGATTGCTGATATGGCACGATCCACAATCAAGTTCAAACTGACAATACTAATCGGAACAAATCGGTTCCTATTACTACCATATCTAGCAGACCTCAGACTACAGGGCAAAGACATGACGAAATACACTCTCAGACTGCGGGATAGCAAACAAACGGGTGGCATTTTAGAGTCTAAGGAGACCTACACGTACCTAATATTTACAAAGATCAAGCATGCTTTTAGCAATACTCTTTTACTACCCACCTGATGGAGACTAGGTGTTTATGATCCAAAAATTACATCCATGGATTTAGACGGGATCTATAGTTTTAAGTGCCTTCAGTGGTATTTCAAAAAGGCTTTTGAGAAAAACTACATAACCATTGTATCTTTTTTATTTTGACAAAATTTCAACAAACAACATATATCTAAATAAAATATGACTTGGATGATACCACAAATAGCAACAAAATTTAAATTTCAGTATTTGGTAGCATCTTGGGAGTTAAATATAGCCTATAGGCTAGTGAAATCATCTAACTTGAGGATCAAAGTATTTGTGAGACACGTCATCGCTTAACGCGTCATCGCACCCCTGCACGCCAGGATTGGGAGGTGCGGCCGTACAACTAAGCGTGCAGCGACCGTACAAACATTGGCCAATCAGTAGCCTCCGTTCGTTTAACTTAATCCACCAAGCTGATCATGACTAAGTTCCCTGCGTGTACAATTTACCCACAATAACCATACTGAATAAACGTGCTCCGTGCTACAGGTCTGTTTCCTTTATAGCTGGGGTATAGCTTAGCTAATTCTGGGAGCCTAGCTAGATGTTGGAGAACCTGCCACAGAGATTTATGAGTCAGTCAGACTTTACTAGTGTAGCAATCCGCTACATATTCATGGACATAATTTTAAGGTGAATAAAACATTTTTCTCCAAAACTAATATTTATTCTGCCATGCTTTTTAGATTTCTAAAACAAACAAACGTACGTGTACTTCAAGTCCAAGTGAGGGAGGATAAAGATGACTTTGATGCAATTAGCAAGTTATGCAATTATTTCATTATNTTCCATTTATACAGCTCAAATCATTTATTTATTTCAAATGGCAGGCGTTATGATAGGTATCATTAGCCCTTTAGTTGACTTCAGGCTTCACAGAGAGGAAGATAAACATCAAAGTGGTAAAACGTCGAGAGGGGGACAGAATAATGATTCACAGACGTAAAAGAGACAGACAGACACAAAGGTAGAAAAAGGTGTGGTGAGTACTGTAAATTATTCGAATATGAAATGCAGTGGGGTCATGGTAGTTTGAAATCAGAAGTCAACTGCCGAATAATAGACTTTTTTGCCGTATGAGTATACGTTGCCCAGGTTGCGCCACGTGGAGGTAAGTCTATCGCACACCCCCAGCTTAAATCATTAAGCTTCTTAAAATATAGGTTTTTCAAAGTTGCATTGTTTAAATTTTAAAAAGTTTGATATTTCCCATTAGCATCAGGCTATTGATTGTAATATGTGACCTTGGAAACGTCCCAATCCCATTTGTTTAAAATAATATGGGAATAATTGTCACATTCATAATACAATGGATTTAAATTTCTGGCAGGCCCTATTGGTCAGACAAAACTTATTATATACCTAAGGCATTTAATAAATAGTCGCATTTTTTACTAATCACCTGATGATTTAATATGATCATTTATATATATATATATATATATATATATATATCAAAAGTGATAGTCCTTGACCTTAAATGTAATGGCCATTTATACTAATAATTTCCCCTAACCATTTTATTTTGTGGAAAATAATTTAATAAGTAAATTTCCCAAGGTTGACTAATCAGTGATTTGACAGGCGAAAACAGAGCTTGATTCACTAGCAAAGTGCCAAGGTGTGCGCAATGATTGATTTTAAAATAGTGCCTTTTTCTGCCTATTTCTCTTGGCATTTCTCATCTATCAAGTTCTCTCATATCTTCCACACACTAATCGGTTCATCGCTCTAAGTGTAAGACTATTGGTGAAGAACTCAATAGAGCAATTCGATAACCAAAATAGGATCAGAAGTGTACTAAACCCGTCGTCATGTCAAATTCTCCAATTTTCAGTGTCCAGACGGATATGAGCGATGATAGACGTCGTGAGCTAGAGCAGATAGTCGGCGGTGCCAAAACACTTTCAGGAGCATCGAATATCCAAGCGATGGCAAACGATGTTAAAAGAGAATGTGATTCCCGCTTTGGTGGAAATTGGCACTGCCATGTTGGGCCCCGTTTCGGAAGGTGACATATCATGACATTTACCTCTCTCTCTCTCACTTTCTTTCAACCTTGTTTCATTTTATTGCTCGTTTTAGCTCATTCCCCTATGAAGCCAATACGTATTTCTATGCAGAATGGTCGAATCTCAGTATCCTTGTGTACAAATTCATGTGAGCATCGTTCACTCTTCTCTCAATGAAACACTTTTAATGTATCCAACTTTTACTATTTAACATGTTGGCTGGTATTACTACCACTTCAACTCCGTTTATTGAATTGACAGAAATTTGCAGAAAAAAGATTTCAATGTTTTTTATTGTTCAATAATCAAAATTTAAGAAACCTAATATAAGTGGCAATATATGCTAATTTAAAAAAGTTAGGAACTTTTATTTGGATGTATGGGTTTAGACACTTTTTTCCTTAGAAGACAAATTGTAAAGCATCATAATTGACAAAATTTCATTTTATTAGCAAGAATAAAATTACTCAACCGTTAGGCAGACATTGTAAAAAAATGTGACCAAAGAGTTAGAACTACTCAAGCAATGACAGATATTATCATATGCATAGCTTAAAACTATATAAAATTTCAAGTCTTTTCTTAAAACGCGCGATTTCTTATTGGTTCCACCAAATATTATGCGTCATGGATTCTCTGCCTTACATGCAAAAAACTTTATAATTATATTAAGACACGAATTACGTGATACCTTGAAGAACATCTACTCGTTTAGTGCTTGTATTGCATCACCGATGATACAAGTCGATTGACGTATTATATGATTTCGAAGGTGTCCATTTTTTAATTTTAGATTTATCATTACCAATAATGACACATTTGGGAGAATTTATATCTAAATATGGAGCAAATGAGGTAGAGTACTCGTTTTGAAACAAAAGATGAATTACTTTTATTGTAGAAGTATAACAAGATTTAATTAAAAAAATTAAGATCACAGTGTGAAATATTGATAAAAATAGTAAAATCACCTTTGCAGTGATTCTTGTTACTGAATGCAAAAAAGCGGAGGGCATTTAGAACACATGATTTCGAATTCTCCCAAGGTCAGAACGAATTTTTAGCTTGGTAACCTTCAGATTAGTTATGTGTTAGTTAACAGTCATACTGACTAAACAATGATTCGACGGCGCAATTAACTAAATGTATTATGGAGGAGATCATTAGTAAAATATTACTATTCTAATTGCTAGTTTTACCCTTAGTATAAATGTGGAAATATTCTAAATAAAATGAATAAGTGTGCGATATTTAATTTCACCTCCTAAAAGTTGAATTCAAAGCAAAGTTCAGAGTGGGTATTCATTAATTAATGAATTTTGCTTAAATACGCAAATTTGCCAATATTATGGAGGGTGGTGGGGTATATTAATAAGGACGTGTGAAAATCGTACCTGTCCAATTGGTGCATTATTCAATTCATCTGAAATGCTTAAGGCATACTTCTAAGCCACTTTAGGTCTCTTTGCGTACCTTCTTAAGTTCACTGATTTGATAATTAAACGTTTAATGACCTTTTTTGGTCTTGCTTTAGGAGAACGCGGGTTTGTAAGATATCAAGGCAACTTGGAAATGAGTAGGAGAATTTCGTTAAGCAAAGGTGGATCAGAGTGTTCAGGTCCACAGAAGCATACAAATCGTGGTGGAATTAAGGGTCATACCCCCAAATGGAAAATTCTCGCGGCATTCAATTTAAGCCAATTGGCTAAAATTAATTAGGTGGTTCATGGGAAAATGATTGGCTGAAAAAACCGCCAAGCAAAATAAGTAACACTTTAGTACAACTTTAAACCACTCACTATACTGACATTTCAGTATGCTTTAGACAGTAGATGTTAAAATAATTAGCTCATGACCACTTTGACTAGTCCAGTTTATGCAAAAATCCGAGATCAGAAAAGCGTAAAGTTCGCCCTTAAAAAGAGCCGAATTATATAGATAATCTTAGAACTGAAATTAAACATTTCCTTTTACCCATTTCACAAATGTCAATAAATATTTCAATTAGTACGCACACAGTTTCAGAATCAAAGCTCCTTAAGAACAATGATTTTCGAATATTTATATATATATCAAATTGTAGGCATTTTGATAGGTATCATTAGGCCTTTAGTTGACTTCGAACTTCACAGAGGGGAAGGAACATCAAAATGAAAAAAAAGTCGAGAGGGGGGGGGGACAGAATAGTGTTTCAAGGACGTAAAAGAGACAGACACAAAGGTAGAAAAAGGGTGAGGTGAGTACTGTGGAAGTTGTGGAATATGAAATTCAGTGGGGTCATGGTAGTTTGAAGTCAGAAGTCAACTGCCGATTAATAGACTTTTTTGCCGTATGAGTATACGTTGCCCAGGTTGCACCACGTGGACGTAAGTCTATCGCACATATACAAATGTAGTTGGACTAGGTTTACAAACCTAGTTTAATAATTAGAGTAATTGTGGGAACGTGAAAGTAACACAATAACAAAATTAGATATGACTAAAAATATTTAAACTTTGATAGTGCCAGGCACTGCTTAATTTATCTGGGCAGATTAGGTGGAGANTATAGGCTAGTGAAATCATCTAACTTGAGGATCAAAGTATTTGTGAGACACGTCATCGCTTAACGCGTCATCGCACCCCTGCACGCCAGGATTGGGAGGTGCGGCCGTACAACTAAGCGTGCAGCGACCGTACAAACATTGGCCAATCAGTAGCCTCCGTTCGTTTAACTTAATCCACCAAGCTGATCATGACTAAGTTCCCTGCGTGTACAATTTACCCACAATAACCATACTGAATAAACGTGCTCCGTGCTACAGGTCTGTTTCCTTTATAGCTGGGGTATAGCTTAGCTAATTCTGGGAGCCTAGCTAGATGTTGGAGAACCTGCCACAGAGATTTATGAGTCAGTCAGACTTTACTAGTGTAGCAATCCGCTACATATTCATGGACATAATTTTAAGGTGAATAAAACATTTTTCTCCAAAACTAATATTTATTCTGCCATGCTTTTTAGATTTCTAAAACAAACAAACGTACGTGTACTTCAAGTCCAAGTGAGGGAGGATAAAGATGACTTTGATGCAATTAGCAAGTTATGCAATTATTTCATTATAAAAAATATCAAATGTCCCTGCTAAATTCACAAATCTAATAAAAATCCTTGCAAGAGGTCATAAATTTAAATAATTAATTATGTAAAAAGTAACAGTCGCTCAAGCTTTTACACATCCTATACCAGGTAAAGGAGAATCAATGTGGAACATTCGTTCTGGTAAACCAAGCTTTCTCTTCATTGACTTACATCAGAGGAATGACCACCCAAATCACTGGGTGCGTTTTTATTGTCATCGAAACAACAACATTTATTTATTTCAAATGGCAGGCATTTTAATAGTTATCATTAGCACTTTAGTTGACTTCGGGCTTCACAGAAGGGAGGAACATTAAAGTGAGAAAAATTCGACAGTGGGAAAGAAGAGCAATTCACAGATGTAACAGACGGACAGACACAAAGGCAGAGAAAAGGTGAGATGAGTACTGTGAAAATAGTCGAATATGGCATAGAGTGAGGTGATGGTAGTTTGAAGTGAGAAATCAACTGCCAGTTAATAGACTTTTTTGCCGTATGAGTATACGTTGCCCAGGGTGCACCACGTGGAGGTAAGTCTATCGCACACCCCTCGTAACAGCAACATCAGTTGCAGTGAAGAAGTCACAGCGTATGCCACCCTCACGAACTGCACAAATGCTGAAATAGGAATACTATGGCAATAATGCAAAGACAACTTCAAATTTCAAGGTTTTCATTAGTGCTACACACGACATGAAGCAGAAAGAAGAACTCCTGATTCTTTATTATTATTATTTCAAATGGCAGGCGTTTTAAATATTTATAATTAGCCCTTAAGCTGACTCTGGGCTTCGCAGAGGGAGGAAAATCAAAGTGAGAACAATTCGACAGGGGGAACAGAAGAGTGATTCACAGATGTAGAGACACAAAGGAGAGAAAAGGTGAGATGAGTACTGTGAAAGCTGTGTAATATGACATACAGTGGGGGGATGGTAGTTTGAAGTCAGAAGTCAGCTGCCGGTTAATAGACTTTCTCATGGTAGTTTGAAGTCAACTGCCAGGTAATAGACTTTATGCCGTATGAGTATACGTTGCCCAGGTTGCACCACGTGGACGTAAGTCTATCGCACATATACAAATGTAGTTGGACTAGGTTTACAAACCTAGTTTAATAATTAGAGTAATTGTGGGAACGTGAAAGTAACACAATAACAAAATTAGATATGACTAAAAATATTTAAACTTTGATAGTGCCAGGCACTGCTTAATTTATCTGGGCAGATTAGGTGGAGAAACCAAATATTCTCCTTCATAACTTTACCTAATGAAATAAAAAAAGTTAAAAGATATTTGAAAGCTTCATTAGCAATGCATAAAATGGTATAATTTATCAAGCCATCAGCATTAAATTTTGACTGAGGTTAAACATTAAATCTATTTGTTATTGTTTATAAATGATAACTACTGTGTTTTTAAAGCTGAAAATTACGCCAGGACCTACGAATTCATTTGCGTAGTTTAGCAGTTGATTGGGAATAAAAGAAATCAATGGAACGAAATGTAGCGAATATTTAAAATTGGTAATTAAGAGAATAAATATAATTGTTCGCAAAAATTGGCTATTGTTACGTGAACGCCTTCAAGACCACAGACAAAATTTTTTTAAAATAAGTAGACACCAAGGGTAACTATTGGACTTCCAAATTAAAAGAGATCCAGTGAGAATGCAAGAAGATAAATTATCATAAAATATTTTAAATTTAAAAGTAACAAATACAGAACAAATAAAATCAAGCTGATCAAGGAAATCCCTCTTCAGACATACAAATCACGTTCCCATTTGCAAGCGGACAATAATTGTATGATATTGATTGCTTAGTTTAAATACAAGATAAAAATTTCATTTTTTTGATCTTAGGAAAGATCAAGTCGCATTTAACTCTCTAAATATTTTGACAACGCTTTTTAGTAAATATGAATATGCTATTTTTGCGGATTAATTGTGAAATGTTAAAACTTACTCCAATTATGCCATGCCTAGAAGTTACTGGTTTGGAAGATTCTGTGGGTACCTAAATTTAAAGTTACTTAACAGATGGGGAACATTTTAAATTATCTTCTAGAAAAATGTAATGATGATGGATGAAATTGTTCGTGGATAGGTAAAAAAATAATGGGATAATACTACAATAGTCCATTAATGCAAAAATTGAACATGATCGATAATGATTTCACTCAATTTGTGAGTTCAACTTTTACATTTGAAAAATCTCTGAAAATAAATCCTTTGAAACCCCATCCCTATGATTGCTACACTGTGTTGCATTCATTTTGAATCTTCTTGGTTGTTATGGTAGGTCAGACAAATTCGACACATCCTATTCAACTCAGTATCCAATCATGCCACCTTGCTAACTCGAGTTTCCAATTCTCTGAGAATAAATTAACCCTGTGATTGATTATGGTGGCATTTTCTTATTTTTTTTAACAAGGACAACTTCGATTTTATTGATTATTGTTCTTTTAGAACCGTTGAGAGTGTTCATGATTTCCTTAAAAATAAATATCGGTATACGATGCTGAAGTAAGCTTAATATTTTTATTTTAACACTAAGTTAAACTTATACTCACATGCCTAATCTATATCAATTACTAATGATTTTTCTTAGTGCCAAACTCCTTCATAGTTTTAAATGAGTTCATTAGAACACCCGCTCTGTGTGAAGGGAGTCTCTTTTTGGCACCGAGCACAATCAGTCCTGATTGCCTTCATCGATGGTAGTCTTCCCTCAATTAATTATTCTTAATTAGTTATTCTTAATCAATCATATTAGTCAGTTTTACACGCACACGGTGGAGACCTTCTAGTGCAGTTGCGAGTTTCAGTAGTTAAGTGCGCACTCGCATTGGTCCTCACCAATCGATCAATATCGAGCACGCATCCCAGCGCAGCGTGTGGTATCAATTTCTCTATTGGCAGTTGAAGAGAACTACACAAGGCATTACTAGAGTCTTATTCAAATCGTGGTGGCATTTGAAAGTATGCAGCAGCCAGTAGTAACCAACCCTCAGTGCGAGAAGCCCCATTTCAAACGGGCTGATGTCGACGACTTTGCGAGAAGAATTATCCTTCAATCAGTCCACAAGGCTGATCTCCTTTACTGTACCGAGGATGAAATGGCTAAGAGCATTCGAATTGACCTGAACAACAGTTTGGGAGGCCACTGGCATGTCATTGTAGGTCGCCATTTCGCCAGGTTAGTTTTGTGCCCTCCAAATGCTAGAAATTCTCTTCTAAATGTCTGATCTTAACGCTCTTTTCCTTTTGGCAGTTATTTCACCTTTACTCCTGGTTTGATGGCCCACTTAAAACTCCGAGATATGCAATTCCTGGTCTATAAATACGAACAGGGAAAATAGGTTAAAGATGGCAGATTTCTACTTTGCTTGAATATCCTCAAACTATATATGTGTGTGTTACTTTACTATGAATATTTAATAATACAATAAAAGTCCTCTTGAAAGGTACTATGGATGAATTCTATTTCCAATTTTCTGCAAATTTCGTCTAACTTCGAAAATGGTAACTAAGCGCAACAAGAATTTATCAAAGTTGAACTTTTACCTTTTCAGAATGTCCTAGAATATTAAAGAAATTGATCTTTAAATAAATAAATAAATATTTAAGCAAATTTTTTAGAGACGCCCAATTGAGGCATAAGTCTTAAAATATGATAATTGAAAGCCAAATGTACGCATGATTATCTAAATATTAAGTCAATATGAAATATAGAAAGAATTTTTAACACTTCCCATTATCATTAGAATTGGATAAAAAAATTGATCAAATTATATGCTTGACAAATTCAATATAGCTGGTGGTTAGTCAACAAACGATGAAGCCGTGTTAAAAATAACTAAAAATGAATCTTTTTTCCACCTTGAAAGCAAAAGCTATTTAAAATTCTAAATCTCATCTCCAAGATAACTTTTCCTTAATTCCTAACTTATTTGCCATATTACAAAAGCATTGTGAAGTTGATTGCTGTTTCGTTAACTATTGCATGTATTATCAACTTCCAATTTAAAACTAAATATTGAAAATTCATATATTTGAATGTGCAAATATTTTTAGTCAATCAGTCAGTTAACTAATTCACTGAAAAATTTAACTTCAAATTGATTATATTAACCATTAGTTATTAATTCTCATGCACTTGGAAATAATTATACTATGCAAAATATTTCAATAGACTTATATTTTATACTATTAGTTAAAGTCCAAATCGTGTTCTGTTGAAAATAATTAATTTACCAAAAATCTCTTTTGTATCCTAGTTTACGATCTAAAAGCACTGTTTAAGAACACCAACTGTGATCTCATACAAAATTTTACGTAACGTCAAATTCTTAATTAAATTTACTTTTCTATTAATGAAATTACTAGCTTTTCTTATCGAAATCTCCAAATCAGTCGCCCTTAATCTCCAAATTTCATTATGAATTGATTGAGACTTTTTGTACATTTTCAACAAATAAAAATTGGTTTTAAATGATATAAAAATGCAAATTGAGCCTGGCGTTTGATTTAACATTTCAGAGCGGTATTTAATCAAATAAAGAAATGAATAGAATGAAGAATAGATTTGGAGCTCTTTTTGCCGTTTTATTACATATCAAACTGCTTGAACACATTCAGAGGCCATTTGTCAAATTTGAACTATGCCCAGCGGGGAGACTTGTAGAGGTAGACTTTTAAATCTCCCATTCGGCATTGCATCCATTTCTCTTGAGTAGCGTAGCTAAAAATTTGCGGAAAAATTCCAGGAATTAGTTAATTTGATAAGTGACACACAGTATGGAAGGGGATGTATCTTACCCGCAGAAGTTCTTGCCTACGATGCAGTGGTGGGGTCCACCATAAAGAGTATCTGCACAGGTTTTAATGTGTTCAGCAATCCTTTTTGGGTCGGTGTAGATGGTCAGAGCCTCGATAACCACATCTTTTATATCATTTCCGAAATCGTTCAACTTCCAGTCCAGTCGTTCGTTGAAGTCCATGCCGTTTGTGTCTGTGTTGATAATGATTGCTTCGCCTAATCAGCTTTTGCTAGTCTCACCAGCAGGCACCTCTAATGTAATCACCAATTCGCCCCCACCAACCACATCGCGACTGCAAATGATTTTTGTGCGGCGATGACTTCTTGCATTTCTAGAGGCTAACGTGATTCCGTGAGCGCTGAAGTTGATTATGTTGCCAATTAAGCTCAGGTTAATCATTATAACACTCATGTCTGATTGCAGTTCAATAATCAGGGCCTTTTTCACCTGTCCATCCACTGAGTTTCAATTAATCCTTTTGCAAAATAAAAAGCAGGCTGATGTCACCTATGTTAAAACAAAAAAGGTATAATTTGAATTAATGAGAAAGCTTGAATTTGGAAGAAAGCATGACCTCCAATTGATCGAGTTGAAAAGATGAAGTGATGGCACTACGGCTATATTTGGAGTTGGAGATTTATTTTTTACATAGAAGATTTATTTATTTATATCAAATGCAGGCGTTTTGATAGTTATCATTAGCGATTTGGCTGACTTCGTGCTTCACAGAGGAGAAGGGGGAACAGAAGAGAGTTTCCAAGATGTAAAAGAGACAGACATAAAGGTATAAAAAGGTAAGATGAGTACTGCGGTAGTGGTCGAATATGGCATACAGTGGGGTGATGGTAGTTTGAAGTCAGAAGTCAACTGCCGGTTAATAGACTTTTTTGCCGTATGAGTATACGTTGCCCAGGGTGCACCACGTGGAGGTA